TCGATACTAGAAGGCGCTAGTATTAACTAGTATCGTCGTGTACCAGGCGTTAATTGTGGCGCGCAATATTATTCTATTGTTTTAGAACAAAAAGCGACATGTAACGAACATTATTTAATTTATTTTTATTTATTCAATCTTGATTGTTAAAACATTAATAACTAGGGTAACAAAGGGCGGACTTAATGTTTTAATTTAAATGTAATTCTTATTTCATACTAACGATCTTCCCCGGTTTTGCACGGATGATTTCTGGATCTCAACAACAGCACCACCTACCGGATCTAATTTTGAATCCAAACCATCCAAACAAATGCACACAAAAAATCACCATAATCGTTTAAGCCGTTTTCGCGTTTTAGCTAAACTATCGGACGGCAATTGATTTGTTTATATAGACATCATTTCTTTTATTAATATTCCAGAGATCTATTACTATTTTTTTTATTTCTTTATTCAAAGAAACTTACAGCTTTTATATCACATTTGAATGTAAGATGAATGTTAACAATACATTAGCCAGAACAGTTCCCAACGTTAAGAATTAAATACATTGCGAAAACTTTAGTCATAATTAAATGAACTACATATTTGTGTTTTGCCAAAGAGAAAAATATACTTAATGCATACCTAATAACAATGTTAGTAAAGGTAATTTTATATTCAGATCGAGAACAAGAAGTACACACACCACCTAAGCGTGATCAACTTGCTTAATAGATGTAATATAACCGTTTAGTTTGCAGTTAAATATATCAATATGGTTATAATGCTCATTATGTGTGTTGCAAGCACGAACCAGAAATCGGTTTTCCGAATACTTAGTTCTGCAAAAAGGAGTAGAGAAAACTGCGTATGAGCGAGCACTCAACCTAGGGCATCTAAATGAAATACGACTTGGAAGGAGGAATCTATATAGTTATGTAAAAGTTTAAACAGACACACTTGATCTCTATGTTCACGCCGTAATTCTAATGACTGGTGTAGCGCAGAATGATCCTTAAATTTGTAACAAGTCTGTTCAGTAAATTATTCTGAATCCTTTCTACTTGTTCTACATATGTAGCATAAATAGGGTTTCATGCCGTAGATGCCTATTCGAGATGACTTCTTAATAAAGAATTATACAGCATAATATACGGGTTTATGTTTTTGAAGTCCTTGCATTCTCGGAAGACAAAACCTAACATTCTATAAGCCTTGGCAGTAGTTTTGTCAATGTGAGACGCAAAGTCTAGTTTATTATCGAGATATACCCCCAGGTCCCTCACTTTGGTCACTCTTTCGTTTTTTTCGGGAATAAGTTATAGTATAACATTTATCAATATTTAATTTTAGATAATTAGCCGAACAATATTCATAAAAATTGCTTAAATCTTTTTAAAACAGCAAAGCGTGTTCGAGATTCTTAGCGAAGGTAAATATTTTAATATCATCAGCGTATAGTAATGCTTTCGAATGTTGAATGGTACGCATGACACCGTTTATAAACATATTAAAAAGAAGAGGACCGAGATGAGAACCCTGAGGTACACCAGATGTGATCGGGACTTTGCTCGAAGTATAGCCCTTCACAGCTACTGTCTGACACCTATCACGCAGATATGAGGTTAGCCATCTCAAGAGATTATTCAGATTAATGTCCTGTTTTTCTGATATTATGAATAGTTTTTTGATATGATGAATAATTCGTTTTGAAATCTGTATATATAACAAACTCGGCATTAGCTTATTCTGCTACTTCTGTTTTTGATCTTTGATTTATTTTGTTATTTACAATAAATAGTAAAATTAATACTCGCAAGGCACAGATGCGCCAATGAACCATCTCCAGCTTGCTTGAAGCATATGACTCTGGATAATTTTTTTCAGACGTCTGTGTATATGTGTGTTATTTATCTTATGACTATCTTTAATCTATACAAATAAATAAAATTGAAGTGTCTGTTTGTAATGTCAAAATTACAGCTTTTTACTAAATGCATATGAAATTATATACGGTATTAATAACAAAAATACAATAATAAAATATATATAAATCTCGCATATAAAATATCGCATTTTAAAGTTTTAGTCTGTCTGTCTGTTTGTTCCAGCTAATCTCCAAAACGGCTGGACTGATTTTGACGGGATTTTCACTGGCAGATAGCTGATGTCACAAGGAGTAACTTAGGCTACTTTTATTTTAGAAAAAGAATTAGGGTTCCGTGCAAAAATTTTAAAACCCCAGATAACACGCGGGCAAAGTCGCGGGGAAGAGCTAGTTTATTATACGATTGTAATTAAACATAGAATGTTAACAGAATTATATACATTTATACACGTTATTTAGAATGACGAAAGGCAATCGTCCCTACAAGGGTCCATGTTTTACGTACTGATGGATAAAATAATAAGTTAGCTATATCATACAGCGTAAAATAGCAGCTTAACACTGCTGTGTTTCGTATGGTGAGTGTAGAGAACCAGAGACCCTTTATACTGGAAACGAGGCATTCCATCTTAGTCCTCACGGGTGATAACGCATCCGCATTTTGATTCGCAATCGGGGATAGATGTAGATGTCTATGGGCCGCAGCAACCACTTACCATCAGGTGGACTGTATTTTGTTTATCACACTTATCCTATAGAAAAAAAACACAACAAGAATACTTGGAGAGATTTTTTAAATAGCTAAATAATTAAGTACACGAAAGAATATAACTTCATTTATTTAAAAGTTGACAATTATAATATAACCTATTAATTAATAAGAGATTGTTTAATAAGAGAAGAGTGTGGTTTGCAAGATGATGTTGTGACCAGGATTAAGAAAGGAATGCTTCGGTGGTTTGGCCATGTAGAAAGAATGAATGAGGAAAGAGTGACAAAGCAAATTTATGTTGCAGAGGTGAACGGCATAGTCGGGAAGGGTCGCCCTAGGCGAAAGTATATCGACCAGATTGGCGATATATTAAAAATGGGCCAAATCAAGAGTACCTTTAACCGACGAGCGTGTATGCGTAGGTATATGGATGTGGAGGAAGCGAGAGAGGTGTGTCAGGATCGTGCCAAATGGAAGTCCATAATCTCTGCCTACCCCTCTGGGTGACAGGCGTGAGTGTTTATGTATGTATTATGTATGTTAATTAATATAAAAATTGTTTTAAATTATAAAGTGGCATTATTCACTTCTCACACTATCCAATCCAATCTTAACTTATTACAATTTTCTAAAAATATCACATATTAGGTACTAAATCATATATGTAAAAAAATCCGTTAACCCGTTAATCTTCGCCAGGAATTAATGAGACTTAATAAATAATCCCAAAGAATCTTAAGGCCTCTAACAAATGGCGGAATAATGATCTTTAAAAAATTTCGAGGCTAATACCCAGTACCAACTCAAAGAAAGCAGGCAGGCAGAGGACAGGAGAGGACGAGGGCATTTTTCTAATATCACCTATAAGTCCGCCAAGTGTGCAGTAACCAAACTGTTGGCTCTAATGAAGCCCTGTTTAGCACTTTTTATGTAGGACCATCAAAATAATAATAATTTATTGCTTGAATTTTTTTTTTCGAAAATATTTTTGTATTGTTATTATTACATTAAACCTTTATTCTATCTCCTTTTTTTAAATATAATCTATGACCGAAAGTAAAAATCAATCTTATCACTTCTTTTTTATTATTATATCTTATTTATTACTAATCTGTCAAAATCCATATGACACACACGTACAATATATTGGAAGACATTTTTATACGCTAAATACAACTAACAAGAATGATAATGATTCATTCCTTTAATTTCTTTCTAATTCTCGTTGATGTATTATTTCATAATTCTTTATTCTATTTGAAATATTATATTGAATAATTTGAAATATAATCTGTAATCGAATGTAAAAATCAATCTTACCACTTCATTTTTTATTATTTATTATACGACAGCTCCGAATTCCATTCAACATAAGTAACATTACTTTGGAAGACAATTTTAAACGCGTTTTACTTATATACACCTAATATTAATTTATCTATATCCAATAATATCATTAATTGAAAGGAAGGTATGTTTCCCAATCAACCAAACTAATCGTGTAAAATGTAATAATAGTCTATAGTTGATCCAGTCCAATAGGGTTGCCAATTTCGTTTAAAACGTTACAGAATATTTGATTAATAATACACAGTATTAACAAGAAAAATAAAGAGTTTACTTTCTTAGCGAAAAACTTTTAAATATTTTAAAACTTGTAACCGATTTGCTGCGATAGCCGATCAGCTTGATAAGCACGGCGCATCAAATCTTCCTAGGAAATCTTAGTAGAAAAGAGGCCCATATCCAGATGTTGCCTGATACGGATTGACAAGCAAAAAGTAGAAAAGTAGATTTAAAGTATACTAAAGGCATTGATATATTAAAAGGGGAAGATATGTTACGCGCTAATATCGCAATCACTAAATTTGGCTCGGCGCACGACTACCTGCACCGAAACTTACACATCTGTTATCATGATCGCAAAATTACATTTACCGATAGACAAGGACAGAGATAGGAACCTTCGTAGTTGTGCGAGCGAAATCGCGCTAGCCGCCGAATGTTTATGATTATGAATGACATTGTAGTAGCTTTAGCTAATACATATCGAAAGAGAAACATTAAGCAGTTTAATTATTAATCAGGTACATCTACATTCTTGAATTATTAGAACACTGTTTACCTGCACAAGAAGTCATTTTAATGCGTATTTAATACCAAAAAAACTGAAATTAACGAGTTGTATCATCAACGACGTTCCGCGCCCGACTGAGTGTCACTGCGAGCCAAGTACGGGCAATCCCGTAGTTTTGTAGGACCGGGCGCTGTGATTTAGTGACGTATCTTCCCCTTTTAATATATCAATGACTAAAGGCACATAATACTATTAAAAACTATTTTAGGCAACCCTAATTACAACTTAAATTATGGGGATCCAACAATATGGACGCCCGCTTTTTCTATATTCATTATTTAGTCTCCACAATCCATTGAATACTCCTTATTATGAAACAAGCTTATCAACATTCGTCTTCTCATTCCACCACATAATTCAGGGCTATAGCTGTCACTGTCACACTCTTTTACATAAACCCTTTTGATTTTTTCATTCGAGTCCGGGATTAGCAGTTGTTTCCTTTTTCTCGCCCTTTTTGCTCTGTCTACTTCGTCCCGGGGAAGCGCACTCTGTTTTGGACTGTAGTCCGCCATTGGGGAATGGAATAGTTTCTTAATGACTGGCTGGAGGCTTTTCGGCTTTCGGATTGGAGAATCTGTGTCCATCTGCGCAAAAAAATTATGTTACGTCATTATTCATAAACATTTTTTTGTTTTTGTATAATTGTTTCTATCTGGGATTCCAAAGATAATTAATTAATCTTATATCATAAATATCTTAAGGCGAGGTCCGAAGTAGGTCTTCTTTCTTACTTTGGAGTCCATTTATCTAGTAAAACCCTCTCAACTATTCCTACTGACAATTCTCAGTTCGTGTACTGCTATGTTGCAGTCACAGAAATCTAAATAATATTATTTAGATTTCTGTGGTTGCAGTCTAAAGGCTGCGAGTAAAAAGAACCAGTATACAGACCGTAAGGCAATCCACCTTAGTCTTTAGAAACAGAAACAGATACAGAAACTTTTTTATTCAATATATATTACAAATAATATTTATTGAAAGGCACTTTTTTTATTTACCACTGGTTCGGAAAAAAACCTCGGTCCTGGGAAGAACTAGCAAGAAAGCCAGAGGGACTTTTAAAAAAAAAATAACAGTTTAAAATCGTATATGTTACAATTGACAACACAAAACAAATTAGTAATAGCTTGGGTAGCGATCACCTTTCAAACGGGTTATTATCGTCCATAAATTCCTTAATATTGTAATAACCCTTTTTATACCAACTTATCTTAATAAAGTTTTTGAACTTGTGCAGGTCAAAATTTGTATATTCTATTTATTTATTCTTCAAAGAAACAACCGTAGAAGTCTTTGTTTTAAGCTGATTACATGTGTCATGGGCTACATGGGGTACAGTAGCCACTTACCATCAATTGGACTCCTAAGTTCGTCTGGTAATTTTATGTATAAAAAGCATAAAAACCCATGATAATGAGATAACTACGAGGGTGGATTGAAAAGTACTCGGCCTAACCAAGAAAATAAACACATACTTAATCAGTTATATTTTTATTTTTCTATATAATCACCATCAAGTTCAATACACTTTTGCCACCTTCCAAGCATTTAGACCGTTGAAAAAAAATGATTCTTCCTTAGAGTCAAAATATGCGTCTACAGCTGCTTTGACCTCGTCGTTTGTCGAAAATCTTTGACCTCCCAAGTGCTTTTTTAGGTTAGGAAACAGAAAGAAGTCTGATGGTGCCAGATCAGGTGAATACGGCGGATGCGGTAACAGTTCAAAGCCACAGTTGTGAATTTCAGCCATTGACTGTACTGACGTGTGAACACGGGCGTTATCTTGATGAAACAGGACTTTTCTTCTGAGCATTCCTCGACGTTTTTCTTTTATTTCCTCTCGTAAACGACGTAGTAAGGTGCAGTAGTAATCAGAGTTTATATTCTGATCCCTTTCAAGATAATCAATCATAATTACACCTTTCGAGTCCCAGAATACTGAAGCCATCACCTTATTTGCCGACAAAATCGACTTAGCCTTTTTAGGGGGTGGTGAACCAGGTCTTCTCCACTGTTTTGATTGTTGTTTTGTTTCCGGTGTACAGTAATGAACCCATGTTTCGTCCATAGTAACAAAACGATTCAAAAAATCATCTGCATCGGCTTCAAATAACTCCAAACAGTCGCGTGAAATAGTCAATCGCGTCCTTTTTTGTTCAACTGAAAGCAGTCGCGGAACCCACCTCGCAGACACCTTGTGGAAACCCAACTCGTTGACAATGATGTTTTGAGTTCGTTCATAAGAGATGCCTATAATCTCGGCTATCTCTCTAATTTTTAATCTGCGGTCTCCCATTATTAAATCAAGTACTTTTTTAATATTTTCGTCAGTAGTTGACGTCGAAGGCCTTCCAGAGCGGGGTTCATCTTTCACACTCTCTCTACCACGCTTAAATTCTGCTATCCATTTTTTGACGGATGAATATGACAGAGCACAATCGCCTAATGTACTGACCATGTCATCATGGATGGCTTTTGATGATAGCCCCTTCTTATGGAGGTACTTAATGACGGCACGCTGCTCGATTTGCTCCATTCGCGGAAATTATGTCCGATTACTTTGTTAATAAATTTATAAAATCACAACTAATTATCGCACACGTTTCGAACTTCACACAATGAACTAGTCTGAACTGAACTAAATAATGTAAGTAGATTTGATTTTTAGAATTGAATGGATCTGTGTTAGGCCGAGTACTTTTCAATCCACCCTCGTATCTACACAATCCTACGTGGTTGACAAAAATATTATACCTGTATGTTTCGAACTCCATACTATATAACATTCTAATGTCACCTCATCATGGGACTAGGGTTGCCACCCGTACTATAATATATAAGTATTTCAGTCAATTATTGTACTATATAGGTATTATAGAAAAATAATATAGTACAAAAAATACTTTGCCCCTAATTCAACTGTTGCGATTTATTATATTAACTACTAGCTGTGCCCGCGGCGTAGCTCGCGTATACAGGTTTTACATAAAGAATTTGTCGTTTAGGTAAGAGAATATTAAACGATTTATTTCATTACTGTATCAATAAGTGGTAACTAAATAAATCATTATCATCAAAGTTCTAAGTCGTTTATGATAGAGCTTCTGTGTAAACGACGTTAGAAGTAGGCTTAGCCGGGGTGTACACAAAAAGGTTACGGGGGCTACTAACGCGGGAAAAAGCAACATAGAGTTGGCCATGTGCAAAACAGTCAGTACTGAGGTACACTCCTACAACGCGTAAAGTTTGATCTTGCGCTTTATTTACGGTCATCGCATAACACACGCTCACTGTAACTGGGAACTGAACGCGCTTAAAACTGAAAGGAAAGTTACTTCTTAATAGAGGGTTTTTGGGCAGTGCTGCCAGATAAAAAAAAACTCATTCAGCTCTAGGACAACACAAAAAGCGCTAGATTTCATGAAAACAGCGCTTTAAAAAAGCCCTAGATTTCGCGCTAAATTAACTACAAACAAAGTTTGTGTATTTTTATATAATCATAATAAAGAAAACAACATTAAGTTTTTTTTCTGGCAATACTTATAATTATAGCAATTGCTGTCAACAGTAGTTAGTACTGTACGACCAATAAAAATGTCATTAATTGTTTTAAAGTGCAATGTATTTCGCAACTTAGTTTCAGATGTCAGCATCTGATTGCGGTTGCTACACAGTTTCTTTGTGTTATAACTTCTAAGTAACTTTTAACTTAGCTGTGCTCTAAGCAACTGACTGAAACTGAATAAAGCAAAATAAATGCGTTGCCAAAACCATGAACGAAAACTTTAATAAAGGGGATTTCCCCGCTTATAGTCGTCGGTAAAAAAATCAAGTTGATCATCCTAAAGGGGAAGCCAGGAGATCCATAGCACAGGGTATCCTAGTTTGGACTCGTCTCCCATGCTCTTTGTTTTGTGGAAAAAATATGTTTGAAAAAGATAAACTGCAATGTACTATTTGTGGGAAAAAATAATAAAGGTCATTATTATTATTATCGGTAATGTGGACTAACAGTGCTGCTATAAAAGAGTTAATAACCCGCTAGTCGCTAAAATATTGAAATGTGTGCTAAATACACCAAAAAGCGCTGGATTAAGCGCTAGGTGCTAAAATTTCATGCGCGCTACTTACATTCCAAAAAAGTGCTAAATCTAGTTCCCAAAGCGCTAAAATGGCAGTTCTGATTTTGCGTATATTATAAATACAATATCACGACATTTCGTTGCGAAATTTTTATTTTTGGTCGGGTTCCGTTGTATGGCTTCGATGGATACAAATTTCTTCAGTAAGTCTCAATAGAAAGAAGGAAAGAAAGTATTATTCTCCAAAATGACGCCATCACAGATAACATAAAAAAGAAACACATAATTTACAAATAATATTGGCTATACAATACAAATTACAATATACTACATATTACAAACTATACAATACCAATACTCATATGTGTCAAGGCGTCATCTACGATACGATACATCGGCGAAAAATCTCAACACAGCAATTCAGAAAAGTTTGTAATTTGTAGAACTCCATCTATTACGTCCTTTGTGTGAGAAAACATCCTATCTCTTTTTGTGTTTTAAGTATAAATATATTAATTATTATGGAACGTTTTTTTTTTTACAGAAATCTTTTTATTACTATTTCTGAGATTTTATGGCGCCATTGAACAAATTCGAACCTACATTTCAAAATAATAATCATTACTTTCGATAGAATTAACCAATTTTAATAAAACAAAGATTAAATGTAACTCGAAGATACGCTTTATGATATTCTTAACGATTTCTTTGAAAATAAAAGATGTTTACTTTAGACGTGATGCGTTCATATAATAACAGACAAATAGACAGACAGGCAATTCTAAAAATTATAAAATGTTCTTATTTAATTATTTTCAGTTCATCATAATGATTTTAGCCACCAAAATATATATACAATGTACAGAAAGAGACACAACATGTTATCATCATTTTTATTATAAGTATATATTTAAAGAGAGATGGCGCTGCTAACATCATCAATTCTAAAAATAAAAGAGATTAATTGACGCGATTGATACATTATATAAAACGTAAGAGAACTTATAAATCAGTTCCTGCACAGTAAGCAAAAAATAAAGTTTGACTCTCGCCAAAACCAATGCAATTGTTAATAGCTCTTTTAAAATTTGATTTACCACATAGAGTACTCGGCGGTAAAGAATAAATTGAGTTTGTCAACACGCAGTAGGGCAGCGAGTAATATAATAAAGATTAGCAGTAAATATGAAAACTCTATCTACAGGAAAAAACCACATTTGCAATTGCATTGCATTTTCACAACACCACCATCTATCGAAGAAATGAGTTAACTATTGTGCTTCAGATTTAGTTAATAACGTTAATATATTTTTGTATAATATATTTAACACGTTCTTTATTACTTTTGTTTACTGCGTTTTAGATATACATAATTATATCATTATTTTACATAATTTAACTATGATTTATGATATGATATTAGTTTAAAATGCACTTGATGACTCAAATAAAGCCACCGTTGAGCAAATTCGTACCTATACTTCCCTACCCATACTTCAGAATATTTATCATAACTTTTGATGGAATGAACTGATTTTAATGAAATAAAGACTAAATGTAACCCGAAGATACACTTTATAATTTCCTTAACAATTCTTATGATATTAATTAGTACTTTATACGTGATACGTTAACAAACAAACAGACAGACAGACAGACAGACAGACAGAAAATTCTAAAAATGGTAGAAATGTATTTAATTACTTATTTTTAGTACCCCTCAATCACTTTTATTACAAAAATATTAAATGTACAGACATCTGCTATTTACAGTTTTATTATATGTATAGATAACTGGAAGTCTGGAACAAGTAAGTAATTATAAATTAAAGTTATACGGAAATAATTTTTTCCGTTAAATGGAAAGAAGAGAGAAATAGCTAATAAATTTTTAATATGAATCTAAGTTGCTCAAATTTCTATAATTATTTTAAAGATTGATAGCCAAAACGAAGATTAGACTTTTATTCAGGATGTAGTATTCTTATCAATTTAAGAAATCATTCAATAAATAACTTTAAAAAAAGTAGAAATAGACTTCAAAAACTAATAAAAATATATGAAATAATTGCCTCCTAATGTTGGTTACATTATTAAGTGGCGAAGCTTGCGAAGTCACTTATTGATTTCACGAATTCACGATGTCTGTCCGTCTGTCCGTCTGTCCCACGATTATCTCGAGAACGGTTTCGAATTTTCAAATTCTGTTTTCAGCAATCGATTACTGATCACCCAGGCATCTGAACCTCCTATTTTGAAACTGATTGCTCAACGGCAACCGTTAGAAACCGCTACAAAGCTGATTGCTTCGCCACTTTGCTATGCTGTTAGCTTGCTAGGTTTATTTATTATTAGTTGGCTCCTGTAGTTGTGCCGAAGTGTATCGACGATTTGAAGTTCCCTTATTTCATTATTAATTAAAAACAAAATGGGTGGACTGAGCAATAGTCAAAGAGACAGTTATGGCCTGAGATGGCAAAAGCAATAACGGAGGGAGGCCTATGTCCAGCAGTGGACTGCAACAGCCTGATGATGATGATGATGATGAGGACCTGCTTGCTTTAAAAAAAACCTTTATAACGTTTAAGAAAAACTAAATTTAAGTCAAAAAGTGGTCTAAGTGTTTTGTGATGGTGTATCTCCGTTTAATTTTAACAGTTATAGATTTCCCGTTCATATTTTTAAATTGTATCGCGTGTAATTCGTACATAAAAGTTTTTATTGCCCTAGCTTCAGGTAGGAAGGGACCGGAATGTCTTTTGAAAACATTTTAAGGAGCAGGTACTTTTCCCAGTATCGTAAAAGCATATTGGGTAAATTTTGTCGAATTCTATTCACTTTGATGTTTGGATTACGTGTATGGAACACAACTGAATATAAAAGACTTTTTGCGGCATACTTTTCTATTATTTTTGTTAGAAAGTGGAACTTATATTCTACTCATTTTTCTTTAAAAAAAAATATATATTCTCATAGTCCACCTGATGGTAAGTGGTTACTGTGACCCATAAACACCTACATCTATCCTCAATAAAGACTCAAAATGCAGATGCGTTGTCACCCGTGAGGACTAAGATGGAATGCCTCTTTTCTAGTAAAAAGGGTCTCCAGTTCTCTACACTCCAGCAGTGTTAAGCTGCTATTTTACGCCAGTATTCTGTGGTGTGTCCTCCCCGGTCGAGCCGACCCATTCGTGCTATAACTGTTATACTACTAATATAGCTGCAGCATGCCTCTACGAGTACCACGTATAAAGTGGTATATTTCGATCATGCATTATGTAAAAAAGTTTGTTCACATTTTTTTTAAATCTGAATCTAATTAATATGTAAATCAGAGGCAGATAATTCACGTCTGTAATTTATTCGAGTATAAACACGGCTGTTTTAGTACTCGTATCTACAATACCTCCGGAATCAAAAACACCGCTCTCATACATTTCATTATCACTTTCATCACTGAACAAATGCAAGCAAAATTGGGCGATATACAAAACTCTGATATATGGTAATTTGAAGTTAACTGCCAAAACGTTGTTGAAACAGTCAGCTGTTTTTTTTCTATGAACACAATTAACTCAGGTAGTCGGTAAGTCCTCCGAAGGGTAGATCAATGTGATGGTTAAATATTTCTATCTATCTTTGATTATTGAAACGGAAAAATGTAACTGTAGATACCAATGGTAGACATCTTAACTTCCCGTATGTGATAGATATGTTATTGAGACCGGCCGTTAATGAAAAATAATATAATTAAAAATTAAAAATTTTGTACAGCCGACTTCAATATAGGTTATTTAAGAATAACTCAATAACCATTTGTCTGACTTTGTCATTTGTCATCAAATTCATATGGGACCACACGAGAACTATCAGCTTTCATGTCAAAAAAGAAAAATCGAAATCGGTTCGCCCAGTACAAAGTTATGAGGTAACACACATATAAAAAAAACATACAGTCAAATTGAGTACCGTCTCCTTTTTGGAAGTCGGCAGACAAAATTATTCTATTGTCTATTGCAAGATATCTACAAAAAGCACAATCGAATTGTAAACCTCCTTATTTGAAGTTGGAAAAAAATAAGGATCCATTCAATCCATCCATCTATTAGCCTACATAAGTCTACTGAACATAAAACTCCCCATAGAGTGATTCATAGGGGGCGAAATGCCTGCCTGCCAAGGCATTTTGCACAGGCGATTTGGCACAGCAGTTTTTTATTATTTTAAGCTGTTATCAGGAAGATGCTGCTACCCATCTCCTGTTTCAGGTTCCCTCTGTCGCCTCTTATGACACCGGTATGATATGAGGTAGTGGATATTCTTACACCCCACCCTAACACAAAAACCCTACACAGTTTATAAATAAGAATAAAATTATTATATATAACATAATAAGCATGAGGGAACGACTCTTTACATCATCACATTTATCGTGATGTTTACACACCTGTTCAATTTATATTTAAAAAAAAAGTTAAAGTTACAGCCTATATACGTCCCACTGCTGGCCACAGGCCTCCTTTCATTTCTGAGAGGGTTTTAGGACAAGGAAATGTCCGCCGCGCTCCCCGATGCGTGTTGGCGAACTTCACATGTCTTCGAAATATTTTTTTCTTATTTCTCAACATGCAGGTTTCCTCACCATGTTTTCCGTCACCGCCGAGCACGAGGTAAATCAGCATTTAAAATTATAATTAACAATTTCATTGGTGCCGGCGGGGATCGAACCCGGGTTGCTCGCGTACTGTGAAACTTACAGCGAACGCTAACCATCTCAGCTATCACGGCTATTATAATTTGTATTTGGGAGCATAAAATTGTTAATATTACAACTGTAAATTATGGTATTTTTCTACGAGTAAGATCACACTAATATTATTATTACCAAAAGCGAAATTCATCGACAAATTACAAAAACGATGGCTGTAAAAGTTTGAATTGAAACCTGCAAAAGATCCTTCTTATAATTAATTAATCATATTAAAAAAATCACACAATGAGGGTTAATAAATTTTTTGCTCACCAGATGTCGCTAGATGACACTGAGGTAAAGTTTTTTGTAACACAATGTCATTTAATTGAGAATTTACTTTTTAATAAAAGTTTATCGGTTTCTAGAGTATTATATTAATACATAAAACTATGCCTCAGTGGTTTGCTCTTTAATTTTTTGCAGTTATAACTTCTTTAAATGTTTCTACTTTTGTGTATATCTGTGGTCTGGTTTATTTATTTTTAATCTTATTAATACACAATGTAGCTATTAATACAGAAAGAATCCTTACAATTTCCGAACAAATTAACTTCCCCGCTATGAAATCTGTCAAATATTATAGCTCACTTTTAATTGGCGCCACCCTGGTGGCAGAAAAAGTCATCGATATACTTAACAAGTTGTGAAATTGTCCAGCTTAGTCCTGTGGCCTTCTTCGTATGGTGTCTATGGGCTGTCGTACCAACCAGTTATCATTTGGTGGACTCTCAGCTCAGTTCACTTTAATATTAAAAAAAGTTGGGAATTAAAAGTGAAATATTTAACATTTTCAAATTAATGCCCTTCTACGAATGTTACAAAAATAAAATAAAATTGAAGAGACAGATGAAAGATAAAAAGAGGTTTAACTAAAATTTTAAAGTACCTTCTAAAAAGGGTTTATATAGGTCCCTTAAAATATACGTTACTTAAATCACCCCCCCGCCTAAGGGTATTAGCGTTCTGTGATCACTCCTAAAAATTATTCAAACGTGGAATTGTACAGATTATAACAGACCTGGACCTCAATATCTTAATTAGATTACTGTTACATTCATGGATAAGTTAAAAAAAAATACTTACCAATTCTGTATCCGATACAAATTCAATGGAATTATTTAAAATGTTATTTCTTATCAAAACTATTAAATTCTTTCTGTCGACTTTGTTCACCGGTGTAGAGTATGCACTTGCAGTGGCGGCCATCTTGGTATGCCGCAGGTATAAATATGCAAGTAACGCACGCCCGGACAGGACGGAACGTTTTCGAACACTGTTTCTGTTTTGAATTTTGATATGAAGTATGAACGAATATGAAATGCCATTCGACTCGTTGACGTTTGGATAGTGATGTGACTTATATTGATAGATTTTATTTCATTTTTGGTAGTCGTATCTGATGGGTCATCTCACAAATCGCTACGTTCTAGTACACTTCAGTGTACTAAGTCTACCGTAAGTAATTACTATATTTTGCGGTACTAATTTACCCAAATTCGTTCTATACGGTCAGCAGCTAGTTCTAATAGATTTTCAAACAGTTCTAAACAGTTGTACTAGTTTTTAGTTGACATATAAGAATAGAATAGAATATAGTAATATTTATTGAATATAGATTACGTGTAATTCTTGTTTTACATTACCAAAACAAAAAAAAATTGTAACAATAACCCTGTGGTTTTCGTTAAGAGCGTTATCGAAAGCAGTATCTAAACATAAAGAAATAACTTTGCTTCGAAAAACTAGTCCATAGAAAAGCAAAATAAATTTTATTTACCTCTGCATTCGCCCGAGAGTAAGAGTTTTTCCCCTTTCAGTGTCAGTTAGTTCAGATGTTAATAACATTTTTTCACAATATTGGATTTAGCAAGTTACCTATTGTGATCACTAAAATCCTTTTAGTAACGACCAAAAACCAAAACTTCATGCATATGTACATCTATACGTCCCTAAAATGATCACCGGGTTGTTTGTTACTGGCTGGCTTAGGTTATAACTAAAGGTACAAAAGAGATATTTAATAAGAGTAGTATAATATTTTCTATTTCGTGATTGGTAGATAGTAGAAGAGTAATAAGAGCTTGGGAAACGATACATGAGATAAGATTAATAATTTGATGATATCATTAATCGTTATGTTAACGAAACAGTAGCAACCGAGTAGTGTAAAACAAAGTCGGTTCCCTCCATCTGTACCCTTAGATCTTTTAAATTACGCTACGGATTTAATGCGGTTTACATCAATATACAAAATAGTTCAACAAAAACATTTATATGGATAATACATGCATATTATCTATAAAAATAAATAAAATTGAAGTGTCTGTTTGTAATGTAAAAATAATAGCTTTTTACTAAATGCATATGTAAGCATATACGGTACTTATAACAAAACACAATTTTGAAAATTTTTGTTTGTCTGTCTGTCTGTCTGTTTGTTCCAGCTAATCTCCGAAACGGCTGGGCAGATTTCGACGGGGCTTTCACTGACAGATAGTTACTGTTACTGATGTTATAAGGAGTTTTAGAAAAAGAATTAGGGTTCCGCGCAACATAATTAGAACCCTAAATTACACGCGGGGACCAGCTAGTATATTATATAATTCTTCTGTCCGTATGTGACTGAAATTCTCCTAAACGGCTGGACCAATTTTAATGAAAATTTGCGTGTGTGATTAAGTTGATTAGATGCTGTTTAAATTCATTTGGACGCGGTATGTGGCGTTGTTGTCGTGATCCATAAATCAGCCGTGCGAAGCCGGGACGGATCGCTAGTCTACAATTATAAGGATTTTTTTATATTATCGCACTATGCGTTAGTCACCATCATACGACACGTCAAAAGAGGAATTATAACTTTAGTTATAGGATTCAGATTATTCACTGACTAATTTTATCGCATCCAATACCATGTATGGCGAGATTATAGGTTACCGAAAAGAAAACTGTAAATAGTAAATGGGCTGCAGCATCTTTCTGATAACAACTTGAAAATAATAATAATTTAAAATTTAAAATTTTGTACAGCCGACTTCAATATAGGTTATTAAGAATAACTCAAATAACTCAAAAACTATTGGTCTGACCTTGATCAAATTCATATGGGACCACACGAGAAGTATCAGCTTTCACATAAAAAAAGAATCATCGAAATCGGTCCACCCAGTAAAAAGTTATGAGGTAACACACATAAAAAAACATACGCCTCGAATTGAGTACCGTCTCCTTTTTGGAAGTCGGCAGAAAAACTGCGGTTGTCAACTCGTCTGCTGAACGTGGCAACTTTGATGATATTTCCTCATTGAGGCGATTTTTGAGAGAGGACTATGTTTAGTGGTTGTGGACTTTTGATAAGCTGTAATGAATAGTAATGGTGAATAGCAATACGAGAATCCATTTCTTCTGTTAGGTGTTATAACAAGTGAATATGGTTAAGACCAGAAACTGGCAATGGCAGCAGAAAAATCCCGTATACACCAAATCTAAAATATTAAGATGAATAAGTCTAGAACCAGGGTCTAAGAGTTTCTAGCAGCAAATAATTCGTAGAAGAAGTTCATGTCCAGCAGTTGCCTCTTACTGGCAAAAAAAAAAACTAGGGGAAGAAGAACTGACTAAAAATCGACAAAAATTCAAGCTTCATCCAAATTTGTACGTGGTAGAGCCATGTTGCAGCTATATTAGAAGTATCGACCGGGGAAGGACCACGCTCTCAGAGAATACCAACGTAAAATATCAGCTTAACGCTGTTGTGTTTCGTATGGTGAGTGTAGAGAACCGGAGATCCTTTTTACTGGAAACGAGGCAGTACAACTTAGTCCTCACGGGTGACAATGTACCTGCATTTTGATTCGTAATCGAGAAAAGATGTAGATGTCTATGGGCCACAGCAACCACTTACCATCAGGTGCACTGTGTGCTCGTTTGTCCCCCCATCCCATAAAAAAAATCTTTGTCATATCCGATGTGACGTTACGTGATGAAATATTTCTTTAATATAAATTAAAAATATAAGTAGTGAGCCTCCGTTTCTGCCGAGGAATTAGTCTAGATAGGTTCTACTCTCTTACCTGTGTCTACCGTCAAATAGCAGTGTTCCTGTCTGAGGGATATGAAGATACAGTAACAGTCTGTGAAGTTTTACTTTTACCTCTACGCCTTGAGAGGTGACAACAATCTGTAGTCTTTTTTGATTACATTTAAATTTTATCCCTGGTTCGGAAAAATCTCTGTCCTGAGAAGAACCGGCAAGAAACCCAACGAAACCTCCCGCACGGAACAAGTATTTGTATGGCCTACAAATAATTGTTCCGGGTCTGAATGTTTGTCCTTGTGCAATTTGTGTTTTTAAACTACCTCCACGATCCAGAAGAAAATCCTATTGTGGGTTACCCCACGTTTTTTTTAAAGTTACGAGATCCAAATAAAAAATTCTTTATTGACCAAATTTCCATATTAAAACTCAAGGCATAACTTGCTTAAAATACTGACTATTATCTCCTAGTCCTAAGTCACTTTTTGTTGACTATATAGTACATATTTAATCTGTATATATTTTGTAGTGGTGTGTGTTTTGTATATTTACGACAATAGTGTGTTTAAGGATAGTTAATTAAGCTCACGCTCTTTCAAAATCTCCCTTTTCTTTATTGTCAAATTGTTTTACATAATATGAAATGTCAATGATTATTATTTTACACAAAAATATATAACATACACACAAATTATATAAATAATTCTATCTATATTTCACGCTATGGTTTATATGATGATATGATCAATAATCAACTAATGAAGTGGAATCGATATGAAACACAATAACTAAACATATTAATAGTGATCTAGATATCTATTATTAAAATAAAAAGTCATTTATATCTAAAATAATTAAAGAAAAAGCTTTTTTGTAAATCTTCTAAGTAAAAATACTTAAAATCATATTTTTCTAAGCTTTAAGACATCTCGCTTAATAAAATTAGACCCTGAAAATCTTCGTGTCCTAAACTTGGTACCGTCGATGCCACCACAATGAAGTGGACTATCTAAAAAAGCTTCAGAGATAGTTTCCCATTTGTTATCTCTCTCTCGCGGTATGTTTTCTTTCTCTTTAACTCCATTTATACCTATATTTTGAAATTTATTAATGAAATCCTTTCGTATATTGATATTGGATACGCTCAACTTTTCATAATTGATTTTATTACAATTTTGACCAGCTACGAGTGTTTTAGTATTTATAGTATTGAACGAATTACGTTCCTTTTGAATTACAGACTGTGCCCGAACAGTTTTACACTGCACTTGGATATTTGTTGGTAATTCATCAACTACTGTACCATTTTCCGCGAGTAATTCCAAAGTCATAGCGTAATTCGCTTCTAGTTCTATCTCGGCTTGGATTGTTTTTCGTTTTATATAAAATGCCACGTTGCCAACGGTATTGGAGAGGCCGCATCTCTCTGTATGCTCTTTGAACTCCTTCAGGAATCTTTCCAACGTCTTCATATGCATTTTACAATAGTTTCTTATCATCTTACTGGCCTCTACTATCTCATTCCTGGACGTTCCGCTCTTCGGAACTATCTTGTCAAGTTCTTGCATTTTAATAACACTAGTGTCATGTCTACACGATTCTACTTTAGCAATGTGCTGCTGCAGCTGCGATTCGGTGTATAGCTTTGGAAAATAATGCGCCAAGAATATGGAAGTCGGTGGTTGATTTGTGAAAAGATCGAATTCGTGGTGTCTACTCGATGCACGAACCTCGGCCGATAACTTCTCTTCCTGGAATTGATATAACGTATCATTTTTATTTGATATGCATCTGTCACAATACAGCTGCAATGTACTACGCACAAATGAGCATTGAGCCATCCTCATCGATGGAAAAAACACACTCTCACGAAAAGGCGGCGTAAAATAGATGTAATACTCCAGTTTTTCGTATGGTTGGTAGAGCAAGTAGATGAGTTTGTATATTTGGGATGTATGTTTAGCAGGGATGGTAGATATGATAAGGATATAGAACGACGAGTGAATGCAGGAAATAGAGAGAATGGGGCTCTACACTCTATTGTGAAAAGTCAGAATGTGTCCAAAAAGGCACGTATGGCAATTCACAATGCTGTGTTAGTACCTAATTTAATGTATGGTAGTGAAAGTTGGGTGTGGCAGAAGAAGCATGAGAGTAGAATAAATGCTATAGAAATGCGGTCATTAAGGAGTATGTTAGGGATGAAGCTGAATGACAGAGTGAGAAATTGTTTAATAAGAGAAGAGTGTGGTTTGCAAGATGATGTTGTGACCAGGATTAAGAAAGGAATGCTTCGGTGGTTTGGCCATGTAGAAAGAATGAATGAGGAAAGAGTGACAAAGCAAATCTATGTTGCAGAGGTGAACGGCACAGTCGGGAAGGGTCGCCCTAGGCGAAAGTTTATCGACCAAATTGGCGATATATTAAAAATGGGCCATATCAAGAGTACCTTTAACCGACGAGCGTGTATGCGTAGGTATATGGATGTGGAGGAAGCGAGAGAGGTGTGTCAGGATCGTGCCAAATGGAAGTCCATAATCTCTGCCTACCCCTCTGGGTGACAGGCGTGAGTGTTTATGTTATGTATGTTATGTTATGTATGTATGTTTTTCGTATGGTAAGTGTAAAAAAACCAGAAAACTTTTTACGGGTAATGTTTATTACATCTTTATCTTTAGGGGCAACAAAGCATCTTCATTTTGATTAATCGTCAATATAGATGTATATGGGCCACAACATCAACTAAGCATCAGGTAAATTACCAACAACGCGTACACTTTTGGCATGGTATTTGCCCGTAGTCGCTTCTAACTCTAATGACACCCACAGAAAAAGATGTGGTGATTACCTGAAGCCACCACTACATAACTTCTGAGCAGATCTTTTATGTATTATAGTTATTCGTTAAGAACTTAGAAGTAATTGTTACTAGGCATTATTAGGGCTTTACTACCTAGGAGTCTGTCTAACGCATTTGTTACTCCTTCTTTGAATTTCGTTGCAGGCGTCTATGTAGATATACCCCCATAGATTGCCTGATAGGGAGAATTTCGCTCTACACGCCTAGGGTTGGTAACCACAGTATTTTTATATTTTAAGTTATTATCAGAAAGATGCTGCTACCCTTCTGCTGTTTGATTTCCCTCTGTCACCTCTTCTGACACTTAGGGAATGATATGGACTAATGGATTATCTTAAGTTCCCCCAGAAATTGTTTAATAAGAGAAGAGTGTGGTTTGCAAGATGATGTTGTGACCAGGATTAAGAAAGGAATGCTTCGGTGGTTTGGCCATGTAGAAAGAATGAATGAGGAAAGAGTGACAAAGCAAATTTATGTTGCAGAGGTGAACGGCATAGTCGGGAAGGGTCGCCCTAGGCGAAAGTATATCGACCAAATTGGCGATATATTAAAAATGGGCCAAATCAAGAGTACCTTTAACCGACGAGCGTGTATGCGTAGGTATATGGATGTGGAGGAAGCGAGAGAGGTGTGTCAGGATCGTGCCAAATGGAAGTCCATAATCTCTGCCTACCCCTCTGGGTGACAGGCGTGAGTGTTTATGTATGTATTATCTTAAGTCGCCGCTACACGGCCACAAAGCTTGCTTCCAGTGCTCGCAAGTACCATTACTTGCTATAGTAGCCCTCTAATATTAAATACCTCTTTTTATTAATCAAGTTAATTAATAATGGAGTAAAAGGTTAAAATACTTAATATTTTATATACTGAAACCTTTCCAAAATCTCATTGATTACCTCAGTGAAAGAATGACAAAAATCTATATTGTAGTTTCTGAAAGAATCGCGCACATACAAACATACATTCAAAACAGATTATCTTCCTTTATTGAAGTCAGTATTTTTTATGGGATAGGGTGACAAATAGCACACAGTCCACCCGATGGTAAGTGGTTGCTGTGACTCATAGACATCTACATCTAACCTCAATAAAAAATCAAAATGCAAGATGCGTTATCACCCGTGAGGACTAAGATGGAATGCCTCTTTTCCAGTAAAATGGGTCTCCGGTTCTCTAGACTCACCATACGAAACAAAGCAGTGTTAAGCTGCCATTTTACGCTGGTATTCTGTGAGAGCGTGGTCCTTACACGGTCGAGCCGACCCATTTGTGCTACAACTATACTACTAATATTACTGCAGCATGGCTCCACCACGTATAGAAGTTGACAATAGAACGTGCTATTTATGATTGCAGCTCTGTGACATTATTTCTGGACGAAAACAACAGACAGAAGAATTGTTAAAGCATCCGACAGATAGGAGAATATTATTTCTACAGTCGAATAGCTATACGTACACTACTCAGTTTTGGTGTGAATGGTACAGAGAGCCAGTGTGATTACGGGCTGCGGGACATTCCACTCTAGTCTTCAGAGGCTACAGATACGTTGGTAACGTATCTGTAGTCTTTTTTATTTGAAGTTAGTGTAATGTTTACATGGAATGCAGTAGCATAAGATAATTAAGGTCGTTTGTCAGGTTGATATTGAAAAAATAAACTTTTAAATATAAAACCGGCCAAGTGCGAGTCGGACTCGCGTATGAAGGGTTCCGTACCGTCGTACAAGATTTAGACGATTTTAATACTATGTAGGTAAAACACGTTTCTAGTAGGGGAACCCCCTTTAATTTTTAAATTATTTTTATTTTTATTATAGCGGCAACAGGTATACACATTCTGTGAAAATTTCAACTGTCTACCTATTACGGAGCATGAGATACAGCCCGCTGACAGACGGACGGACGGACGGACCGTTGGTTACCCTTCAGGTACGGGACCCTAAAAAGGACTCATCACAAACTAGCCATGTACAAACATACATTATAAAAAAATACAGTAGAATCGAAACTGGAAGTCATTTCGTAACCTTACCAGTGCTTCTAAGTAATGGAAGTAGTTGCAGACGTCCTTGAACCTGTTCTTCTGACCGCAGTACATCCACACTATGAAGGCACGTCGTACGGTGACATTGCTGTAGGCGACCGAAGGCGGCTCCAGAAGACCGTGCGTATTGTCGTCGTCGGTTACATCTAAGTACGAAGCAAAATAGCTCATGGTTTCTGAAATGGGACATATATTAACAATTACTAGTGATCAAAATTTTACCGTAGTTTATTATTTAGTAGCTGATACCCGCTCGTTTCGCCGGGCGCACGATAATATTTTATTGCGGAACCTATTAAATATTTTTTTGATGGGACTGTCATAAAATCCGTTCATAGTGAGCGTCTACATTGCAAAATGATTTAAAAGTCAAAGTTTAAGTTACAGCCTACATCCCACTGTTGCGCACAGGCCTCCTCTCATTTCTGAGAGGGTTTTAGGGCAAGGAAATTTTCGCCGCGCTGTCCCAATGGGTGTTGGCGAACTTCACCTGTTTTCAAAATATTTGTTTTTCTTATTTCTCAGACATGAGATTAATACGTGGTAGAGCCACGATGCAGCTATATTATGGTTGTAGCATGAATGGGTCGAATCGACGAGGGTTGGACCACGCTCTCACAGAATACGAGCATAAAATAGCAGCTTAATGCTGCTGTGTTTCGTATGGTGAGTGTAGAGAACGGTGACCCTTTTTACTGCAAATGAGGCATTCCATCTTAGTTCTGAGGGGTGACAACGCATCTGCATTTTGAATCATAATCGAGAATAAATGTAGATGTCTATGGGCCACAGCATCCACTTACCATTAGGTGGACTATGTGTTCGTTTGTCACCCCAATTCTATAAAAAAATATTGTCATATATGTCGGATGTTTTAATAGTTTTCTTTGATCAATTGTTTTTCTTCACCGCCGAGCACATGGTAAATCAGCACTGAAAATTGCAATTGACAATTTCATTGGTGCCGGCGGGGATCGAATCCGGGTTGCTCACCTACTGTGAAACTTACAGCGAGCACTAACCAACACAACATTTACAGCTTATTCGGTAGATCAGTAATAATTTATTGGCATCATTTTATAATTTTTTGGCGACAATCTCTACTCTAGCGACTGTTTGATAATAGATATCATATGTTTGTTGTGTTGTTTAACATATCACATAAAAATTATAACGTCACTAAACTATATAGTTGTAATTCAAAAATGAAATTTCTTGAATAGGCCGACTATAGTTCTTAAGTTAAGTTTTGAAAAGTGTCAATTTTAGCGCTCACTTAATTCAAAAATCTAGGTCACTTCTGGGCTACTTAGAATTTTGAAATGTGTGTTCAAGGTAAATAAACGTAGCAAGCTAACAGCATAGCAAAGTGGCGAAGCAATCAGCTTTGTAGCGGTTTCTAACGGTTGCCGTTGAGCAATCAGTTTCAAAATAGGAGGTTCAGATGCTTGGGTGATCAGTAATCGATTGCTGAAAACAGAATTTGAAAATTCGAAACCGTTCTCCAGATAATCGTGGGACAGACAGACAGACGGACAGACATCGTGAAATCAATAAGTGACTTCGCAAGCTTCGCCACTTAATAAGTGACTTCGCAAGCTTCGCCACTTAATAACTAGGCGTACGGCTACTTGAAAGTAACCATTGATTCACTCTTGAGGATGAAAGTTTTCACTCTTAAAGACGCCCAGATTACAATCTGACGGAAAACAGACGTTGTTCACCCATTCGTTTACACTTTGTATAATATAATAGTTCTGCTCACGGCTGAACATTGAAGTCTTCCGTTGTAGGAAGAACTTTTTTTTATAGAAATAGGGTGACAAACGAGCATAGTCTACCTGAAGGTAAATGGATACTGAGGCCCATAGACATCTACATTAATCCTAGATTAATTATCAAAATGCAGATGCGTTGTCACCCCTGAGAACTAAGATGGTATGCCTCGTTTCCTATAAAAAGGAGCTCTGGTCGTCTACACTTACCATACAAAATTCTTGCTTCTCCTCTCATTCTACGCTCGTATTTGACACATTAAATTATGAAAGCGTGGTCATCCAACGGTTGAACGGACCCATTTATTCTACAACTATAATATACCGGTAGAATGACTCTACCACGTATAAAACTTGTACTAATCACCGCGCTTGGCAGATGGATTGGCAAACAGACGGCTCGTAACCTTGTCACTGCTCCCCGTAATCGGAGGAGCTATTGTATTTCTGGCGCAAAGGATGTTGGTGGACCCTTTGTCTATCGGAAACCATTAAGATATTTCTGGCATTTCAAATAGTCGCTTCTTACGACACCCAAAGGGTTGTCCCTTCAATCGTGTGATGAAAGTTAATTACGGCTCCGTGGCGCAGTGGCTTAGCAATGAGTTGTTTTACTAGGGGCCGCGGGTTCAAATCCCGCACGGAACAAGTATTTGTATGATCTACAAATAATTGTTCCGGGTCTGGATGTTTGTCCTCGTGCAATTTATGTTTGTAAACTGCCTCCACGACACAGGAGAAAATCCTAGTGTGGGGGTAACGTTTTAAAAACAATTATCACGTCTACAAATTAATCCTTACGTCTTCTCATCTCTAATCTTAATATACGTTACTCTGTTATAGCCGTGAGACTGAGCTCTGTCCACCAAATAGATACTATCTATCTAATTCATCATCGTTACTTCATCGAACATAGTGCTTCACCATAGCCTCATATGAAAAATTGCCAAGTTGCCACGCCTGGCATACAAGTTGGCAACCATTTTTTCATATTATTTAATTGTCAATCTCCTATTTTATTTATTTATTGGATGTACACAATAGTTTATATTCACGTTTACGTAACATAAATACCTAATATATACACAGATTCGACCTGGAATACAAACCAAAAACGCGTATATACAGTTGCAACATGCATTATACGTAAAGATATCTATGAAAAAAAAATTGTTAAACAATTTTGTGACAATTTAGTTAAGTTTTTTTTTTAGATATAATTAAAGACGATAAAAACTTAATGTGGAGTTGACTTGAACTAGTGGCACAGTTGAGTACGAAGCTTATTTATGTTATTGTCAGAGACGTCAATGTCCCTACCTGACTCTGTCAAAACTATATCATGTTAAAGGTCATGTCATTGTAAAATGAAGTATTGTTCTTATAAACGTTTAATATAAACGTATTAAGACGACGCCTGGAATTCGACTTGATATTAAAATTGATTTGGGATATAATGTTTCCCTGTCGCCTCCTGCGACACCTACGACATGATTGCATTGATTAATGATTAATTGATGATTTATACCATTTACTGATAATGTACCCAATATCAGGCAATGAGAAGAATATTTCGGAATTTTTCTTAAATCCAAAAATGTTGATAATATTATTTTAGTGATTTTTTTTCAGACGTGATCCGTGACGTAAATAATTTAGATTTTTAATGATATTAAAAATTTATTACGATGAGATTGCGCGGAAAAATATAACAAAAATTATGTGTATTGCTTAGCATGAAGAGCACCTCCAACCCTCAATTAATTATGTAATTGTTCTTCAAACTAGACATATCATTTTATTTTATTATGAAGATCTTAGCTTAATTTTAACAGCTTTAATCTAATGGATTTCCGCAAAGTAGCGCCTTATTCTATTAATTATTAGCCAGTAAATAGCTTATGTATATTGTTTACCGGACTACTTTGAACTCTACAAATAAATAAATACTTAAATAAATAATAACTCACCGGTTCAATACGTAGCGGTGAACAACTTAATTAAATTGTATTTCATGAAAACGATGACGCGTATCATTAACGTTAATAATGAATAATGACTTTATAATTCAAAGTTGGGCGCACGTTGCGTGCGCTGTCGACTGTTGATTGATGACCTCGGTTGGTATTTTCAAATATATTTCTAATCTACCCTCTATCTTTGACATTTCCTTTCTTTAATTGTGTCTCGTACGTAGGTACATACCAAGGAATTTATATACTACTAACGCTACGTCAGTAGTATATACATTCCTTAGTACTTATATTATATATAATTAGTTATTTATTTATTTTCTTTATTTATCGATCCAAATGGCAAATGGGATCCAAAGACCGTACTTAAAGCTACTAAAGGACTTAATATTATCTGGCAATCAATCTTAGAACAGTGATAATACTACGATAGCGGTTACAGAGAACATAAAGAAATTATAAAAGGTAAACATATACACACATATTATATAAATAAAACCCAAGATAATGAATTAACGGTAATATATACATATACATTGAATACAGATATATATTATAAACACATACGCAAATATACTATAATATATTTAATTCAAATAGTCATAGTTTTGTTTCCAAATTACTAAAAATTAAGTTTCTAACGTTATAAAAATGTTAGCTCAACTGCAGCCGAAACTAATATGAGGGTAACATTTTTGGCTGGTACCGGTTGTATAGTATGTTTGCCGTATAATGGCGGCATTTTTCTGAGTGCTTAAAAGGTGACAAAGGTTAACAAAACAGGAGAAATGGGCAGCAACATCTTCCTGATAACAACTCAAAAAACTACGGTTTTTAAGACGTCTAGAAAGCGTTGAGGGCAGCCGCGACTTTTTCTGCCACCTAGGTGGCGCCACTTTGTATTCAAATATGTAACAGATTTTACAGCGGAGAACTTAATTTGTTAGAAAAGTGTAGAGATTAATGTTTAATTCTGAGATATAACATTAATCTTAAATAGATTAGAAATGGTTGAACTAAACAACCAATATTCCTTAAGCAGAACATTTAAAAAAAAAATAGTATGCTAGGGCTGAATCTGAATGACAGGGTGAGAAATAGTGTGATAAGAGAAAAGTGTGGTTTGCAAGATGATGTTGCGACAAGGATTAAGAAAGGAATGCTTCGGTGGTTTGGTCATGTAGAAAGAATGAACGTGGAAAGAGTGACAAAGCAAATTTATGTTGCAGAAGTGAACGGCAGGGTCGGGAAGGGACGCCCTAGACGAAGGTTTATCGACCAAATCGGCGATACATTAAAAATGGGCCAGATTAGGAGTACCCTTAACCGACGAGCGTGTATGCGTAGATATATGGATGTAAAAGAGGCGAGAGAGGTGTGTCAGGATCGCGCCAAATGGAAGTCCGTAGTCTCTGCCTACCCC